CGGCTGCGCGCCCGGGGCCGCGCCCGCGTGCACTGGACCGAGTCGCGCAGCGCGGGCTCGAGCACCGCGTACACGCAGAGCTACAGCGAGCGCCTGGAGGTCGTGAGCCACCGCGCCACGCTCCTCGCGCCAGGTACGGGCCAGGGCTCTCGAGCGGCCACGGGCCGCGACCCCCCTGGTCCCTGCGCGGCCGCTGAGTCGACCCCTTTTGTTCCTACCTGCAGACGCAGGCGAGACTACGACGCTGCCTGCTGGGCGACACGAGTTCCCGTTCAGTTTCCAGCTGCCCCCGTAAGTCCTCTGGGGCGCAGGGTTGCAGAGGAGCCCCTAAGCCTGCAGCCACTCCTGGGTTGTGACTCCAGTGCTGGCTGTCTGGGGATCTCTGAGTGTTAAGAGTGTCTCTGTATGTCTGTCGTCCCCTCTCCCTAAGTCTTTGGGACACCCCATCTGTGTGTCTCCGTATCTCGCCCCCTGAGTCCCCTTCCGTACACCCCCAGGACCCTAGTGACGTCTTTTGAGGGCAAACATGGCAGTGTCCGTTACTGCATTAAGGCCACGCTGCACCGGCCCTGGGTCCCAGCACGCCGGGCAAGGAAGGTGTTCACTGTCATCGAGCCCGTGGACATCAACACACCTGCCCTCCTGGTGAGTAGCTACTTCCGGGGAAGTAGGACGGGAGCGCTGTAGGCTGCTGGGTGGTCTCGACTGGCTGCCCATTCTCTTACTCCCTTCTCAAGGTGGGGGTCACAGGTGGGCCCGGGCAGGGAGGGAGGCAGGTGTGGGAATGCATGCGTGGTCCATTGGACCTGGGTGCAACAAATCCTAGCTGCACCAGTTTGCTGTGTGGCTCTGGGCGAGTGTCTCACCCTCTCTGAGCCTGGTCTGTGAACTAAGGCATAGCCAGGTCTTCCAGTTATAATGGCTTACCGAGCACCGATTACACACTAAGTGCTTGGCTTGCTTATTTAAATTTTGACTTTATAATATGGGTCAGATCCCCAATTCCATTTTACAGGTAGTTCCTGGATTGTTAAAACAGAAATCAGGCTCTGCTCAAAGTCCACAGGGTTTGTGGTTTGCAAAGAGTGACCCATTTATGACTTCTTCCTCCACCGTGGCAGGCACCTCAAGCCGGAGCTAGGGAAAAAGTCGCCCGATCCTGGTACTGTAACCGTGGCCTCGTCGCCCTCTCAGCCAAGATCGACCGAAAGGGCTACACACCAGGTAGTAGACAGGTGGGGCAGGATTGGGAAGAGAACCGGTGTGGGGGCTGCAGGTGGGGAAACTGAGGCCTCCCTGCTTCCCACTGCAGGAGAAGTCATCCCTGTCTTTGCTGAAATCGACAACAGCTCCACGCGCCCCGTGCTGCCTCGGGCGGCTGTGGTCCAGACGCAGACTTTCATGGCAAGAGGTGCCCGGAAGCAGAAACGGGCGGTGGTGGCCAGTCTCGTGGGCGAGCCGGTGGACCCTGGGCGACGGACACTGTGGCAGGGTCGGGCACTGCGGATCCCCCCCGTGGGTCCTTCCATCCTGCACTGCCGAGTACTACATGTGGACTACTCCCTCAAGGTACAGGGTCCTGCTGGTCCTAGGAGGCAGGGGGTCGCTACAAACCCTCTATTCCCCAGACTGGGGTTCCTTTCCTCTTCCCCAAGGCTGGAGCTGTGGCCTCAGTCTCCCTGGCACAGGAGGGTTGGGGAGTATTTCCTCTGTAGAAGGAGCGGGTGTGGCCAAGGCCACCTGGGGACCCTCCATCACGGCTCATTCCTCCAGGTCTGTGTGGATATCCCAGGCACATCCAAGCTGCTCCTGGAGCTGCCACTCGTCATTGGCACCATCCCCCTGCACCCTTTCGGGAGCCGGTCATCCAGCATATGCAGCCATGCCGGCTTCCTGCTGGACTGGGGGCTGGGGGCCCTTCCAGAGCGGCCTGAAGGTCAGCTCCCTGTCCTGCTGTGGGGACTGGATGGGGGTGCAGGCAGGGAGGCAGATGCCAAATCGACTCTTCCTCTTCCAGTCTCAATGTCCTCATCTGTACAGGGCACAGTGATAATCATGTGGGTGGCCACAGCTCCCCCCAGAATCTCAGCCTCAGGCACAGTCTGGCAGCCCCAGTCCTGACCCTTGTCCCCAGCTCCAGGGCTCCCCTCCTCCTCTGCCAGCCTGAGCCACCCTCTCTCTCGTTTCCAGCCCCTCCTGAGTACTCAGAGGTGGTAGCAGATGAGGACATGGCAGCCATGGAGGAGAGTCCCTTCCCACTACTGCAAGAGCCCAACGTGAGCCTTGAAGGCCCCTTCTTCGCCTATATCCAGGAGTTCCGCTACCGCCCACCACCCTTGTACTCTGAGGTGAGCTCAAGGGTCCAGGAACTCCCCACACGTCTCTGGGCCCTGGGAGCCTCAGTGCGGGTGGGAGACACAGCAGATGAGTTTTTAATTTTTTTTTTTTTTTTGGTGGCTGGCCAGCATGGGGGAACTAAACCCTTGGCCTTGGTGTTGCTAAGGCTGCGCTCTAACCAACTGAACTAACTAGCCAGTGCAGAGTTTCAAACGTTGATAGAACTATCCATATGCTCAGCACCCAGACCCTCCTGATACCCTAGTCTGTCACAGGGATTGCAACCTGACTGCCTCTGCCCCGGCCAATTGTAGGGACTGGGAGACAGATGGGGTGGGGAGGGACATTTCTGAGCCTCCAGTTCCCCCCATCCCACCCACCCCCCGGAGGCTTAATAGGACTATTCCTTGCAGGAGGATCCAAACCCACCTCCAGGGGAAATCAGGCCACGCTGCATGACCTGGTGAGTGACAAGTGGACACTTCGAGGGACAAGGGTGCATACATGCTTTTGGCCACTGTGACCACGGGGCTCACCAGCCTGACTGCGTTGAAGTTGGAGAAACTAAGTCCCAGTGTTGGGCAAGGCTGCTGCAGCATCATAGAGGATGGAGGAAGAGCCGGGCTGGTATCTGACTTACCTGGACTGGCTGTCCTCCTGAGGCACCGAATGCCCAGCATAGGATCCAAGAGACTATTTCATCTGTTCATGCCCAGCCTGTGGGCAGTGCTGGGGTCTCCCGGAGCCTCCCATCTGGGAGAAACAAAGCCAGATAAAGACACTTCTAATCCTGTGGAACCAGAAGAAGGGACCCAGGGCTGGGAGAGACCAGAGGGGGAACAGAGAAGGCTTCCTGGAGGAAAGGGCATTTTAGCTGAGGCGCTGGTGTATGAATAGGAGCTCAGCAGCCAGACAAGTGCAGAGGAAAAGTTGGAGAAGGTCAGAGCTGGATGATGTTTGGAGCCAACCCCCTTCATCTCAGACTTGGGGACCCAAAGTGGGTGGTTACCTCAGTTGAGGCCACACAGTGAGGTCCGGAGAGTGAGAGGACTCAGGAATGAGGCATTCAGGAAAGCAGGTCATTGGAGCTATATGGGGCCTGTGGGTGGGAGGGTCAGTGGTTCCAGCCTTTGAAGACTTTGAAAGCAAGAGATTCCTGGCCCACGCTGGGACTACCTATGAGCTCCTCCAAGTACCCCAGGACGTAAGAGCTATCTGCCTGTCGTATGGCCCAGGGAACCCAGGTTCAGGGCTGGACAGACTGGACCAGCTATATAACTTTCAACAGGAAAACACTGGGCCCCCAGTTCAAGGATTATTAAGAATTTCAAGACAGTGACAGCAAAGCATTAAACCAGACCCTGGGGACAGGTCAGCCTGGGTGACACCCAAAGGGGGGTGAAGTGCCCTTCTGAAGGCGTCTCATGTCTTGTCGTTTTTTTTTTTTAAAAAGATGACCGGTAAGGGGATCTTAACCCTTGACTTGGTGTTGTCAGCACCACGCTCAGCCAGTGAGCGAACCGGCCATCCCTATATGGGATCCGAACCCGGGGCCTTGGTGTTATCAGCACCGCACTCTCCCGAGTGAGCCACCGGGCCGGCCCTGCGTCTCATGTCTTGGAGGAGAAAAGTGTCAGGGGGCAGCTGGACGAGCCCCCAACTGCAGAGTCCCAGCCCTGGCTGGGGCAGGTCCCCACCTGGGACTCCATATTTCTGATAAGCCTTAAGAAATCATTCTCTTTTGTACAATTATTTTTAAAAAATAAAAGTGTAGAGGGAGGAAGAGACTAGCCTATTGGTTTTTATTTCCCCCCAACTGCTGAGGGAGCTAGGGTGGCTTTGACCGCCAGTGCGGGTCACCATCTCAGGGACTGAGCTCCTCGCCAAAAACGGTTGAAGGGCCCATTGTCCAGAAGGAGAAACAGGCCCGAGGCTAGGAGGTGGCTGGCTGGGATACACAGAGGGGGCTGAAGCTGGGCCCTGCACCCATTCCTTGCACCCCGTGGTGCAGTCTCAGACACTGGGAGTGTGAACGGGGGGGGGGGGGGGGGGGGGGGGGGGGAG